AACATCAAAATATTTCAGGGCCATCCAGGCTTTGGGGCTTACTGCACAAAATGGTAAAGGAAAAGGTAATTATCTCATGAAAATTCTTTTAAACTATACAAAAAGATTTGCAGTTATTCAACCATTTTAATAGGCTACCTCTTGTTGATACAAAGACCAGATGAGAATCCCTCAATAAAACAACACCGAAACCAAGCTCGCTTGCACGAACACCCTAAATCAATTCATAGTGTTTCCAGTATAGCAGAGAATCAACATTAGAAAACACTGCCAAATGGAAATCACTATGTTGACAAAAAAGGGGTGAAAGGGACAGGACTATGTACGAGGATAAAGAAAAAGCCTTTCGTCCCCCAAAATATATAAGTAAATAACACTTGTTGATGATAATAAGTTTTGGCAAACTTGCATTAGACAAGAATTTCTGTGCTCCCCTCAGCAGCACATATACTAAAATTGGAATGATGCAGAGATTGGCATGGCCCCTATGCAAGGATGACAGGCAAATTTGCAAAGTGTTCCATATTTTTTAAAAATATGTAAGAATTTTCATTTTCTAAAATCTACCGTGAATATAATAAATGTGAACCACTGCAATAGGGTTGAGAAGATAAAGATAAGTGGTATTAAATCCACTGTCTATGAGTGAATGAAAAAAAATACCCAGTACACAACCATCGCACAAGAATAAGAATACCAAAGTAAATAAGACAAAAGAATAATGAAAAGACATTGTGGTAACAATATGATCTCTTAATTAAAAAGTTCCAAATAATTGGTACAGAAATTATTTTTTTTGATTTTTAAAAAATTAATTAATTTTTTTTTGTTGTTCTTAAGAGAAAGAGAGAGTATGCAAGTGGGGGAGAGGGGCAGAGGAGAGACCAAAAGAATTCCAAGCCAAGTCCAGGCTCAGCATGGAGCCTGATCCCAGGATCCTGGGATCATGACCGGAGCTGAAATTGAGGGTGGGACACTCAATCAACTGAACCACCCAGGCGCCCCGGTACAGAAATTATTAAGATACATAAGCAACTTCAGAAAGATGATATATAAAAGATCAATATAGTCAATTATGGAATCTGGCCAACAAAATCACTGACAAATTACAATATGTAATGGAAAGTATATCACTGAAAACAACAATAATAGCCAAGATACACCTAAAACAAAAACAAAAAGACACCTACAAGTTCTTTAGGAGACAACTATAGGGACGCCTGGGTGGCGCAGTCGGTTAAGCGTCCGACTTCAGCCAGGTCACGATCTCGCGGTCCGTGAGTTCGAGCCCTGCGTCGGGCTCTGGGCTGATGGCTCAGAGCCTGGAGCCTGTTTCCGATGCTGTGTCTCCCTCTCACTCTGCCCCTCCCCCGTTCATGCTCTGTCTCTCTCTGTCCCAAAAATAAATAAATGTTGAAAAAAAAAATTAAAAAAAAAAAAGGAGACAACTATAAAAACTCAAAAAAGCAGTTTACAATGTTTATTTATACAAAAGAGAACACTGCAAAGCTATCAATTCTCTTTACTGTATTTACAGATTTATGGCTTTACCTACAGCTACAAAAATGACACCAACTCAGGTTGCTTTTTCCTATAATCAAAACCAACCCTGGAAAAACTGACAAAGAAAGAAACAAACAAACAAAACAAATATGAACAAGAGCAAAACAACAAAAATGATGAGCCCCTGGGGAATACTAACTCTGTCTTGAACTAGAGTATCTATGTGGGCAGGCGGAGGCCTGTGTGTGACTGAGGACAGTACGTAGCCTGCAAGAGAGGCAGATGACAGAACTGACTGGAGGGAAGGTTTTAAGTCCAGCCCTTGATCCTTTCAGTATTCCCTAGGACAATGAATTTCTACACCTTCAATAAAGGAACCTAAGGCAGCTCCTCAGAGCCTAAGTGCCAGGACCAAGCGGAAATACCAGGACTGCACCAAAGCAGGGGTTTATATTGGAAGCATGAGTCCACAGGCTGTGCTAAAAACCACTTGAAAATATGCCAGTGAATGTGAACTGGCCTTTATTAACACCTTACGAGAACAAAACGCATAAAATAAAACAGACTACTAGCGAGTATCACAATAATTGCACATAAGGATGGAAACTGGTCCCAGAAACCATGATCAGTAAGAATGATGTCAGCCAAAGAAACCCCGGGAAGAGTGATCAGGCTAAGGGGCAACCCACTTTTCCATGGGATTCCTAAGGGCCTTGATAGGGGGTGTGATGAGGTATGAAGTGAGCAAAGGAAAGAACTCCAGAGTTGCTAACTCCAAGTTCCTTGAAAGAAATCGAATGGGCTCCTCCACCCAGAAAGGAGAACACAGCAGGATTCTCATTCTGTGGCAGCCACTTCTGGGAAGCCTCAGGCAGGAGTGGCCTGGTGAGAAGGAACTCATGAAAGGAGGCTCACAAAGTCAAACCCTGAGGTGTAAGGAGTTGGCCCTAGGCCAGCTAATTAGAGGTAACCAAAGAACTATTAGAAATGAAGCGAAACATTGAGAGACTGATGAGAGGTGCATGCACGACATAGGAGAGAACAAAATAGTCCCTGTCCTGTCCTGTTTGGAGGGCACCAAGTAGAGTTGCTAAGCTCAGAACCCCAAAAACACCCTACTTGAGGCTGGGAGGGAAATGATACGAAAATACAAAATGTTAAAAATACAAATGATACAAAAATACAAAAAAAAAAAAAAAAAAAGATACAAAAATCCAAAAAACCCCAAAAATGTTAAAATAGAATACAAGTATCATAGTAATTATGCACAGGCCAGAATTGTATCCCAGAAGCTTTCAGAAATGGCAGTGACGTCAGTCAGAAGACACAGGCAGAGCTATGAGGCTAAGAAGCAACTGACTTTCTCTGTGGGGTTCTCAATACCATGGTGGGGGTGAGAGGCTTCAGTTACCAACGGGAGCAACTCCGGGACTGTGAAGAACTCGGTGCAACATCTCTAACCTCCAACACGGGGCCGCAGAGGACTCTGTCCTCCCGCGGCCGTCTCTGCAAGGCCTCTGGCAGCAGTAGCCAGCAGAGGTGTAGCTGCACTTCATATCCCGAGTCACAGGCAGTGATGGCATCGACCTAAAGGCAGAAGAGGGACATCGACCAGCACCCAAAAGGACTCAAGGAAAGACACCGAGAGAGGATTGAGGCAGTTCCCACACGGAACACGGGCTCCCCCAAAGGCAACACCTGGCCATCGTCAGCTCGGGGGAGCCCCAGCCATGGCTGCTAAGCTCAGACCCCCAAACATTTCCTACTGCTGGGTGCTTAGAGGGAAACGAGACGCTTGGTCTGAGGCCCTCGGACACAGCACAGCAGAGGGAGGGTTCACAGGAGCTGCTAAGAGTCCGCCAAAGCCCGCGTGCGAGTCCTGCGCGAGGGACTCCAGCCCCCCTGGAACCCAGCCCCCCTGCGCATCCCCCCACGCCAACCCCAGAGCCCGCCCCCTCCGCTGTCGATCTGGGGGCCAGGCCCACGTAACCGGAAGTGACCCTTCCAACTTCCTCCCGGCGCTGGGCAGTGAGGCCTGGTCGGACAGCCGTTGCCTCGGCTGAACACGAGGAGGGGGTCCCGCGTCCCGTCAGGGGTCAAGGTGAGAGCAGCCCTGGCTCGACCACCGCGGGGACGTTTCCCCGACACCCCCAGCCCCGTCTCCCCTGAAAAGAGGGGCCCACGCAGACCCTGGCCCGCTCCGCCCCTGCTCCGGGGGCTCGGAGACCCCCGTCATGGCCGTTCATCCCAAGTGCCTTGGCTTACCCCGCCGGGTGTCAGGGATTGCAGGCCTCGGCCCCAGGCTGCTGGACGCTGGCGCGGCTCGGCACAGGGAGCCATCCCTCCCAGGCCCTGTGGAGGGAAGGAGGGGACCCTCGTGAGGACTGGGGGGACTCCGTACTCCGCGACAGGGGCGACGCAGCGTCCCCGCTCCTGACCTTGGCCGGCGGCGGGGGGGGGGGGGGGTAGGGTCCGGGCCCGGGCCCCGGGGACCAGAGGGACCAGAGGGAACGTGGCCTGTCCGCTCGTGTCAACCCTGCAAATGCCAGGAAAGGAAGGCCAGGCTGAGACAGCCCCGCCACGTCTAAGAAATACCAGGCGTGAGGCCGGGGGGAACTGTGTCCCGAAGCTGCAGCCAGCAGTCAGTGGAAGGGAGGGTCCCAGGTCCTACCCGGAGCCCAAGTGGGGATTCTGCGTCATTCCCAGCACCCAAGGAACCCAGGACAGAGAAGGCCTGCCACGAGTGTTCATTCAGCACCAGGTGCCCCCTGACTCCATGGGGGGCCGAGGCGCTCCCTCCTTTCGGCCCCGTGGGTCCCCTGGAAGATGGCGGGGTCGCCTTCAGAGCCGGAGACGGGGGTGGGGGCCTGGGTCGGGCCCACAAGTACCGTGCCGAGCCTGAATGTGACGGAGAGGGCCCCCAAACCCGGGACCCAGGGCTCTCCCGCGTCAGTTCGGAACCCCGCTGTCACCCGAGTGGCCCCCAGGCAGGGCTGTCTGCCTGGGGCCCAGGCTCCCCCCACGTGCCTCCACAGGGTGCTCGGCCGGGGGGGGGGGAGGGGGGGGGGGGGGAGGGGGCAGGCCGACCGGGACGTCGGGAGCCCTGGGGGGTCGCCCAGCGGTGCCCTCGAGGACCCTGCAGGGGCGGCCTTGGCCGAAGGCCAGGGGGACTCTCCCTGCTGAAGGCTCTCAGGGCAACTCCTGCCCCCCACCCCCGCCCTTACAGGTGTCCTCGCTGCCTGCCAGCCGGGTCCAGCGTCGTCATGCCGCACCGCCAGAAGAAAAAGCTGCGCGCCCGCCAGAAACGCCACGAGGGCCAGGGTGAGGGGCAGGGTGTGGAGGGTGCTCAGGCCGCCGCCGCCGCCGCAGCCGCAGCCGCAGCGGCGGCGGCGGCGGAGCCCCTTGGGGAGGCTTCCCCGGGCTCCCCCCGGGCGGGTGCAGCCCAGCAGCCTCAGGGTGCCCCGGCCCCCGGGTCCCCCGGGTCCCCCGGGCCACGTGAGCAGGGCGCCGAGGGCCCGGCCGCGCCCCCCGCCCCGGGGGCCCGCAAAGACCCCCTCAGCCGCAAGGCCGACATGCTGGTGCGGTTCCTGCTGGAGAAGCACGCCAGCAAGGAGCCCATCACGCGGGCCGCGCTGCTGAAGATCGTCAGCAGGAAGTACGAGGCGCACTGGGCCGAGATCCTCAGGCGCACCTCGGAGCGCCTGCAGCTGCTCTTCGGCCTCGAGCTCCGGGAGGGCGACGCCGGCGGCCGGGCCTACGAGCTGGTCAGCAAGCCGGGCCTGGAGGGCGACGGCGGCGACAAGGGGCCGCCCAAGAGCAGCCTGGTCATGGCGCTGCTGGGCGTGATCTTCATGAAGGGCAACCGCGCCAGCGAGGAGGAGGTGTGGGAGTTCCTCAACGTGCTGGGCGTGTACGCGGGCCGCAGGCACCCGATCGTCGGCGAGCCCAGGAAGTTCATCACCCAAGACCTGGTGCGCCAGAAGTACCTGGAGTACCGCCACGTGCCGGGCAGCAAACCTCAGCGCTACGAGTTCCTGTGGGGCCTGAGAGCCCGCGCCCACACCAGCAAGATGGAGGTGCTGCAGGTGCTGGCCAAGATCAACGACACGGTGCCCAGCTGCTTCCCCCAGCTGTACCGGGAGGCCCTGCTGGAAGACGCGGCGCGCGAGAGCTCCCCAGGCGCAGCCACGGTGGCCTCCGCTGGCGAGGCTGCGGGCCCTTCGGGAGCCGGGGAGCCGGCCCGGGCCCGGGTCGGCCGCGGCCGCCGAATCTAGCGAGGCGGGTGGGGCGGCTGCTCCTCCTGCTCGGGGCCGGAGGGGGCCCTTGACCTTCCAGGTAGTGCAGAGTCCGGGGGCTGGAAGGAAGGAAGTAGATCTAACAGTTAAGAAATCTTCAGTTAAACATTTTAAGTAGTAGTAGTGGCTTTGTTTTAACAAAGGGGGCCCTTGACCTTCCAGGTAGTGCAGAGTCCGGGGGGCTGGAGGGAAGTAAGTAGTTCTTCTTCATATTTGTTCTAAACTCTTAACTAATATCAACACACATATCATTCATATTTATTTAGGTGTTTACAAGTTTTTTTCCTAGTATCCCTTATTTAGCACTAGAATATAAACTTAAGAATGGCATGGCTCTCACCTCCATGGCTGTTCCTCAAGGGAGAGTTACAGTGTTGTTGTGTGCAAAACAAAGCCACAGACCATCGATATTGCATTTATGGTCCAGAAGTAGGTAACATGGCATGCAGTAGGGATTTTCATGGCTGTGTGAGAAGGGGAAAACAGAAAAGAGCGGGGAATAGCCAACGGAGAAACACTAGTTAAATAAAAGGAAAAGGTGTTTAATTCATGGTTTGCCTTTTCCATTCAGTCTCTTAATAAAAAGAAAAGATGTGTTCTCAAGAATGTTTGTTTTGTCTCTGTGCACTGTATATTCCCTGCTACCTGCTGGATGAAAAGTAAACTCAGATGGGGCCCTTGGGTGGCTCCGTTGGTTGGGCGACCCACCCTTGGTTTCTGCTCGGGTCACGATCTCCAGTGTGGTGGGATCAAGCCCCGCATCGGGCTCTCTGTTGACAGTGTGGAACCTGCTTGGGATTCTCTCCCTCCCACCCTCTCCCTGCCCCTACCCCCACTCTTGCTCCTTCTCTCTGGACATAAACAAGCATTCAGGGAAAACCAAACTCAGGTGGGGGGGCGGGTGGGAGGTTGGGGGTTCATACCAATCCTAACTGCCATTCGCTCAGGCCGGGTATTTTTCTACTGAGCATGTGAAATGCTTCCTATGGTACATAACTTCCAACATTCCTATAGCAAACTTCCTTTACAGACAAAGCACCGGTAAACGCCTCAAGTTCACGGGAGTGGTGAGTGACCTCCCTGGGACTGGATCCCTGCTCTGGATTGGTTTAGATCCATCTCAAGACCCATGCTCTTCCTTTCCTCCCAGCTTTTCATTCTTTCTCTTCTCATCACTCCACACTCTGTCTCATGGGATAAACAAAACCCTGACCCAAAGTGGCGTTTCGGAATACACAGCCACGGTAATAATAATGCTACATAACTGTGTAGCGTGACCAAAGATAAGAAAAAACTGACATCCAGTGTCAACAGGATCACCTGTACATGCAACGTCAGACAACCCAAAAAGATCAGGGGCTCTCAAAATCCTGACGGGCCCCACCTCGTCCCTATAAGAAGTAAATCCGTTAGAAGGAGAGGCCCAGAAGATGCTGTCTAGCTGGCAAAGAGAAGGATTCTTCTCTGACAGCAGACCATCTGGGCAGCCCCCTACCCCCAGCCTCCCAGGCCTCCCCCCCCCACCCTTGCCTAGTGTCACATCTTCCTAGGGACAGTGCCCAAGTCCCTGCAAGGCCTGCAGTCAGAAACCTGCTCGAGGGTCGGCAGGGATGTGGATTTCCCAGCAGCCTCTAACTGAGGAGAGGACAAAATGAGGACCCTAGACACCCACACCCCAGAACACGGGATTACCGAGGTGAGCTGCCCTTACACCTAGGGGGCCTCAGGTAGAGCCGTACCTGAGCGTCCCCTCCTCCTTCAAGGTTCTCAGAGATAGAGAAGCCTCGGTTTAAGGGCTGTGTCCTCAGGGCAGTGGAGGGAAGAGTCCCAGCCTGACAGGTAGCAAGGTGGGGACCCCGAATGAGGAGAGAGGAACTGCCTGTCCTGCCATGCCAGGGGCTCCACGACACATACCCTGCTTTCCGCCTCGTGTGGCTGTGGCCGGCGCTCTCCGGCTGAGGCTCCCCCTCATTTCTTCGGGTGGGGAACAGAGGAGGGGGGTTCATGGGGAGGCGAGGTCTCGTGCTGGGGCAGCAGCTCCGATTCTGTCCAAGCAGCAGATCCTATCCAACAGGCCTTACTGGCATTTAAGGCGAGGATACTGAGGGCTGATGAGTGGACCCCTATGACAGAGGGGACCACACAGAGCCTCCGGCAGGGGGAAGCCAGGGAGTAGCAGCTGGCCTTCCCCGTCTAGTGTCTCAGGAAGATGACAGCCTTGCCGGAAGGCTGGCCGACTCAGTAGAGGAAGGAGTCCCATATACTCCCCGGAGTCAAGGTTAGACACCCGAGCAAAGCCCGAGGGGCTAGTCACTCGACAAGAGGGAAGTGTCCTAAAATTTAGCCCCTACTATGATCTTTCAGAGGATCCCAACAGCCCCGGACAGATAGGGTTCATCCTGACTTCCAAATCAGAATGTCCAGGCAGGTAACGGCCTTGGTCTGAGGAGCACGGCCTTACGTGAGTGGAGGGTAGAGTCCCAGGGCTGGTCATGAGTCAAGAGGAGGACCGTGAGTGAGGAGCAAGGGGACCCCTCACCCCAGAAGAGAGGAGAACGCCCAGAGTCCCACCCTTGCTGTCAGTCCTAGGAGGCCCCGGGCAAAGCTTTCCAGCTGAGGTGTCCCCTCTTTCCACGGGAAGTGGTCTCACGGAGGAGAGGGCCTCTGCCTAATGGGAGCAGCCTCGGTCCTCACGGTGTGGAAACCTTGTCCCTAACTGGAGGCAAGTTGATGACTCTAAATCAGGGGAAAGGGACACCGACCAGAACACATGGGGCCACGCAGAGCCCGACCACTGCTGTCTTCTCTCCGCAAACCCAGGAATGTTGGCATTCCTGTCCCGCTCGCGTCCTCTGGGGGTGTCTTGTGGAGGAGGTGAGGCGCTGGGTCGAAGGGGCGAGCCTCAGCAGAGCAGAGGGAGAAACTCCATGTCATGCCAAGAATCCGGCATGGGGCCCTACGTCAAGAGGGAACCACCCAAACCATAAAGGTAGAGACGCCACAGAACACCTTGGCCACTGTTGGCCATGGGACTATAGGAAGGGTTGCCATGGGAGGCAACCCTCACAGTCCCCTAAGTGGTCTTAGGCCATGAAAAGCCTTAGCGTGGGGGAACGGGCCTCCAGGTCATGGCAAGAAGCAGTGTGAAGACTGAGTGAGGACCAAGAGAAACAACGGAAAAGAGAGAAGAACAAACGGTCCCACCACCCTGTCAGACCTGGCTGGGGGCTCCAGGCAGGAGTATGCAAATGTGTCACCCACTGGCTTCCAGCCTTGGGGGACTCAGGTCAGTAGAAGGAGGCCTCCTAGATCCTGACAGAGTGAGGACTGTAGGTGTCACCAACCTCAGAACGGTAGAGTCCCATCAAGTTTTGTCCCCCGCTGTTAGCTCTCAGAATCTCCAAACAGCTGTGACTAGATGTGACTTACGTGACTTCCACCTCTGGGGACTCGGGGTGGTGAGGCCCTTGGTTGGAAGCGAGAAAAGGGACAACTGCCAGGCTGTGCCAGGGATAAGGGTAAGGGCCCTGAAAAAGGAGCAGAGCATGAAAACCATAACAATGGTGCAGCACATCATATCCGCCCTGTTGTCAGTCCCGGGAGACATCGGGAAAGATGTCAGGCAGAGTGAAGGCAACCCTCAATTCCTGTCAGGGTGACAGAGAAATAGGGAGAGTAAGAGATCAAGAGAGGAAGGAATGAGGCCATCCCAGAGTCAAACTGAGGAACCTGAGTGAGGACCAGGGAGACAAACCATCATAAGTTCCAGATTTGCCTCCCACAACTTTGTGTCTCAAGCAACCACAGGCAGAGGTGGCCAAATATGGTCATCCTCACTCTTTCTACTGGGTCTCAAAGCGTTGTGGCCTTCCTAAGAGGAGATGTCTTCAGGCGAAGGTAGAGAGGAGCCACCGGCCCTCCTAGGATTCAATGTGACAACCCTGACTGAAGATTGAGGGGCCCCTGCCCCACCCCCCGAGCGGAAGGGACAACAAAGAGTCCAGCTGCACCTCTGCTCAGCGCTTCAAGGCTCAGGGCAGGGTGGACAGGCAGAGGATCCCCTATTCCTCCCTTATAGCATGTCTAAGGATGTTAAGATCCTTAGCCTGAATGTGAAGCCACTAGAGGGCAGAAGGGTGTGTCCCAGCCCTGAGGTGACAAAGTGAGCAGCCCCCCCTGCCAGCCCCTGTGGTCACCCTGGTTCACTCCCGGGCAGGTCTGTCTGACAGTGGCCCAAGACTCCCAACACCTTCCTCCACAGGGTGCTCAGGACCCAGGCTGACCAGGACAACAGGAGCCCTGTGGGGTCCTAGAGCAGTGCCCTCGAGGACCCTGCAGGGGCAGCCATGGTCGAAGCCAAGGTGGAATCTCCCCACTGATGGGGCTCACGTCATTTCCTTCTGATATCAGGCAGAGCCAGGTGCCCAGGTGCCTTTGCTATTTGCTGTCCCTAACCAGTGTCGTCACGCCTCAGGGCCAAAAGAGTAAGCTCCGCCTCTGCGAGAAATGCCCCCAAGGTCTTGAGGGTGTTCAGTCTACTGCAGCAGCAGCAGCAGCAGAGTCCCCCATTTTCCTCCTCTCCTGATTTGGGGTATTCTGCAGAGATCCCCTCTTTCTGGCATTCCCCGAGAGCCAAAGAGAGCCCCATCCACCCCTACCTCTATTGTAGGGTTGTCCTGCCCAAGATGTGAAGACAATGCCAAGAGCCAACCAAACTGAGGAGAGGACAGCACCATCCACTGAGAGCTCCCACAGAACTCCTCTAAGCAGGAAGACAAGTTATACTGGTACAATTTCTGCTGTACGTCTATAACGTGAAGACCCATTAGAAAAGCAGTCATGCTGAAAGGTGCTGACAAAATGTCCAAGAACCGCTTCCCTGAGATCCTGAGGAGAAAGGGATTGGCTTTTGGCCTTGAATTAAAAGAAGTGGGGTTCCTTTGATGCAAGAGTGATGCTAGAGCATCCCTCTGATGCTCCTGCCAGTGTCCTGGACTTCCTAACCACGGGCGTGTGAGTGGCGATAAGGATTTGCCCAAGACCCATCTCCTGGTGACACTCCTGAGCATGAGCTTCATGAAGGGCAACTGGGCCGCAGCAGGGAAGAACTGAG